GAGAGAGAGAGAGAGAGAGAGAGAGAGAGAGAGAGAGAGAGAGAGAGAGAGAGAGAGAGAGAGAGAGAGAGAGAGAGAGAGAGAGAGAGAGAGAGAGAGAGAGAGAGAGAGAGAGAGAGAGAGAGAGAGAGAGAGAGAGACCCAAAACTATGGAGAAGAAAGACGAACCAAATCGGAGCGAACAAGTAGAGGATCTTGTCGCATCCGGAGACGTCACAGCAGCGATCTCGTTTCTCGAATCTTTAACAACCAATCTTCAATCACACCTCTGTTCTTCGTCTTCTTCATGAGTTAGGGCTTCAGTTATCATCAGCTCTAACCCAATTAACGAATCTCTACTCTTCCCAGGGACTCTCCCTCAAATCAGATGAGCTTCTCACTCGCTCTTATCTCATACCTTGCCACGTCAATAAGGATTTGATCCTTATAACCTGTTAGTTAAGGATCAATCCTTCACAAACCAAGACTAGATAATATTTTTTTATTCCAAAAGTGTTAAGGATTAACACCTAAGGACTCACTAATTTGACCGTTGCAGCTGCTCTTACATTCTTATATTTCAATTAAACTTTGAGGCATTTCATGTACGAGACACACTTTCTAGTTGTGTAAATTCTATACTACCTTTAACTCTAAAAGTTTGGTTATCATTTTGGTAAATGCAAAAAAGTTTGGTTAACATTTTGGTAATTTTGCATTCATTAATGTGAAAAGTGAAAAAATAACAACATAAACTAAAATCTTTATCCTCTTTTCTTTTCATTTTATGTGCCGAAGCTTTAGTTCATGTCTTAAACAGAGCTGAAGCACAAGAGAAATTACATGGTATAAAGTTAGCTACAGATAGCCCCTCTGTTCACCATTTGTTATTTGCTGATGATAGCTTGTTGTTGTGTGAAGCCTCTGTCAGAGATAGTGAAGAAATTTTGAGAGGTCTGAAACTTTATGAGGATGCGTCTGGACAAATGATTAACTCTTTGAAATCTTCCATCATTTTTGTGAAAAAATAACCGACGAGACCAAACAGGATATCAAAAGGGTGTTGGGTACAGAGAAAGAAGGTGGTGAAGGTTCATATCTTGCCTTCCTAAATGTTTTCAAGGTTCAAAAAAAGATCTCTTAAAATTTATCAAAGAAAAATTAGAAGGAATGTTAAAAGGATGGTACTCTAAAACTTTGTCAATGGGTGCCAAGGAAGTGTTAATAAAATCGGTGGCTTTAGCTCTCCCAATATATGCAATGTCAGTTTTAGGTTACCAAAATGTCTTTGTGAACGAATTACGAGTGCGATTATAGAGTTTTGGTGGAGTAGTGGAGATAAAAAAAGAAAAATCCCTTGGGTTTCTTGGGAAAAGTTGTGTAAACCGAAAGAGCAGGGGGGTCTTGGGTTTCATGACATTGGCCGTTTCAATCAGGCTTTGCTCGGGAAACAAGCTTGGCGAATTTAGAACAATCCTGATTCTTTGGTTTCTCGAATTCTTAAAGGCAAATATTTCAAAATGGAAATTTTCTTGACTGTGGAATGGGGACACACCCGTCGTATGCATGGAGGAGTATCATGCACGGTAGAGAATTACTCAATAAGGAATTGTATCGGCATATTGGTAATGGGGCTGATACTAATGTCTGGGCTGAAAACTGGATTATTGACATTGTTCCTCGGCCGCCAATGTACCGTGAGAATAGCTCCATAAATTTAGCGCTAAAAGTTTCTGATTTACTCATGCCGGGGTCAACTCAATGGGATACTAATTTGCTACAACAGACTTTTACTCCTCAGGATGTTTAAAGGATACTACTTTTGAAACCATCACTGGTACTTGATGATTTGATCAGATGGGGTTACACACCAAATGGATTATATTCGACTCGAAGTGGGTATAAGTTGTTAGAGGCTTTGGTGGATTATGATCACCCCCAAGGACACTCTCTCACTCCTATTGAAAAACAATTGTGGAGAGACTTGTGGAAGACCAAAGCTCCACCAAAAATAAAACATTTTTTGTGGCGTGCTCTATCTGGTGCGTTAGCTATTAAGCAACGTTTGACTACTTGGGGTATTCCGATAGACCCAACATGCTATTTTTACGGTAATGGTGTTGAGAGTATATGTCATATTATTTTTACATGTGTTAAAGCACGTGTCACATGGGAGCAAGCTAACTTCCCAATACCTTTAGGAGGTTTTTCTCGGAATTCCACCTTTTTAAATTTTGTGCACTTGATCAAGATTGCTAAGAGCTCATCTATAGATATATATACAAAGAAAGTTTTTCCATGGTTGCTGTGGGAAATTTGGACATCTAGGAATTCTTTTGTTTTTGAAACCAAGGTTATTGAGTCTTCGTTTATTGGTAATAAAACCTATGAAGAAGAATCCACATGGCTTGATACATTCAAAGGAAATAGAGTGGGTGATGTTGAAACGGAAATGGTTCGATGGAAAAAAACCGCCCAATGGTTCCCTCAAATGTAATGTGGGATCCTCGTGGGTAAATTCAAATCAGTCTAGTGGTGCTTCATGGATTGTACGTGATGAAAATGGGTATACAATCATGCATAGCTGTCGCGCCTATTCTTATATGCGCACAAAAAACAGAGGGAGACTTGTGGGCTCTTTTTGGACAGTTGAATGTTTGCACAATTTACATTTCTCTAATATTATTTTTGAGACTTCGTCGGAGAGCCTACATGACGTATTCACAAACCCAAATGAACACCATAGCCTTAGCCATATTCGTCATAATATCTCTTTTCTTCTGGCAAGTTTAGATTCATGGAGTTTGGATCACGCTCTTCCTGAACGTAATGAAGCTGCAGCGGCAATTGCTTTAAGTGTCACTCGTGATCTGCGTCACCAGTCGTATATTGCCCGGTATGATCCAGCGTGGCGACATCACTTACTCGCTTTGGAGGCTCATCAATAAGGGGTTTTGGTAAGACCCTTTCCATTTTGTTTTGGTGTCTACTGACATCTCATCTTATCTTTTTTGTTGATCACTTTTGTATTATGTTACAACTCTTTAAATTTATCAGTGTTATTAAAAAAAAACTAAAACCTATTTCGATCTCATGACGTTGTCTGGAGAACAAAGGAGAGAAACCATTGGAGAAAACATGCTCGCTTGTTCCTTGTCCATTTAATTATATATATTTACTAGATGACAATCTACACCATACGAGAGGTGGATTTAAAAAAAAAAATATTATGTTTAAATGTATATTTTATTATAATATTCTTTTTTTTACATTTTACTAGGGTATTTACCGTGTTACGCGTGGTAAAATTTTTATTTTATTTTTATTTTGTTCACATTTACTATTATATGAATTGTTTTATTTGAGTGTGTATTTTTAGAAGTTTCATTGGTTAAATATGTTTCATTGTTCTTGTTTTATTTTTTTTTCTAATAAATTTGGAGTATGACTTGTTAATTATTTATTACGCAGCACCACATGATCTTTTTATATTACACAGTAGATTTACAATTCATTAAACTGAAAAATAAGTACTATGAATAAAAAATTAAATGCGAGGAATTTGTTTGGTCATTTTTTTAATCTCCGTCGTCAATTTATGTTGACCTCATACGTTGTATGATGTATATTCTTCTGTATTTAATTCTTTATTAATTTTCATTTTATACGTTGAACATAAAATGTTGTTAAAGTAAAATATTTTTAATGATATTACGGCGAGTGATATCATTCAAATGTTTAGCCCTAAGAAGTGAATTACTCTCTCAAATAAAAGGTTCAGTTGTAGTATTTAGGGATCAAATCCACAGGGAACTACGGAGCACAATAGATGTAATCCTAAATGATTATGCTAGGTTGATTAGGTTTAAAATAGTAAATTGCAGTTTTGTAAGCAATGATAAGTTGCTTAAGAGAATGGGTTTAGGTTTAAAACAATAAAAGAAAGTAGTTAGATTCAAGGTTGCTATTCAGATAATTAGGATTATAATGCTGTAGATGTTTTAATGAATTGCTTGCAACATATATGAGAATTCGATTCTTAGACAGATCTAATAGCAATCGCTAAATAGACACATCCATTGATCTTATTGCCAGCAATATCGACCGATGTTTTGACAGCGATATCGGACAATATGGGTTGCTGTCGATCGATGATTCTATAGGAGTATCGATCGATATAGCATAAGATCGAGTCAAAACTGTGTTCACCAAGATCATAGACCGGCTCTCGCACAACCCTAGAGGATCTAAGCTCATGCCAAATGATTTCAGGACAATGATTAACAAGTTAAATCACATCCATGATCATACTCTAGGTAGCTACTCTAGAGTAAGCATTAGGGTTCATTTGGATAATGAATATCAACAATTCAACATTCCATAGTTGAGGCTAATCCCTCATAACTATTTGAACCCTAAATCTAACAAAGAAATCTACTCAGACATAGCTGAGAGATTCATAACAGCTAGGTAAAAGTAGAAACTCATAGATTAGAAGATTGAACTTTTGGTTCTTGGAACAACAAATCTCTTTGTGTGTTTTTTCTAAATCTAGAATTCTATAACCATTAAGAAATTAAGATGAAAAGAAATACTTTATTGCTAGGTATAGAATAGAACAAAGGAACAAGAAAAGTATGCAAAGCTTTTCAAGTACAAAAGGAACTAGAACAATAAAAACATTCAAAAAGCATCTCTAGCCAAACATAATGGCAAAAACTATAAATATGAATTCCATTAGGTTAAAAACTCTTCAGGGG